TGGTTAGAAAAGAGTGAAAACAAAGATATTGCAGTTGTATTCCAAAACCTATCAAATGAGATCTCTATTTATAAATATAAAATTGTTTTCTAGTTTATCTCAAAAATATACTTATCCAGTGTTCCATTCCCAAATTGATAGTCATTTGCGACCCAAGATCATATTGTTACTTGGGTCGTGCATTTTTCATAATTTTTTTTTTCAGTTTCTTGGTGACCCAATTTATTGGGTCACCCATAAAAGTAGCCTTAGAACATGGATTGATAAAAAATGTGCAATTGAAACTAAATTTTTCTGATTGAATTTGATATATTGGATAAAGTGAGCTCAAATTGAAAAAAGATAGACTAAGAGGAAATTTGAATTTTATTTTGAGTTTTTGAATGGATATGAGTTAAAATGTAATAATTAAAGTTGATGTGATATAAAAGTAGAAAAAATAATTGTAAATGGTTGGTAGTTATATGAGTGAATGAATAGTGAATTTTGTAGGAAATTATGTAGTAATTATTGTTGATATTGTTGGAATTAACTTTAGGTGGAAACCACTTATTTCGTCCAAGAGATACAATAGGTACGTTTCAGAATCTGCAGCACTTTTCAAACGTTCGATCGACGACTTGAACGAAGTTGAACTGTGCACAATATGTATGATGTGTGAGGCTTTTTGTAAGAGAAAATATGCAAATGGCGTTATGTGTGTATTTTTGCAGCTCTACCGAGTCCTATTTATAAGACTTCTAACCACGCAGGGGATATCTTTAGTCATCAACCAATTAAGACAGATAACAGTCCACTTATTACTATGTAACGGGCAGAAAATGGTCAGGTGTTAAGCATATCATTTTCAGGTGATAACACACCCCACTAACTCTTCATGGAGTCAACAATGTACAAGTTCAATGAACGTAGTGAAAGTCACACGGTTGGATTCAAACCCGAGTCCAAATCCAACTCAGATTGGATTTCAATATTGTGTCAAACCTTGGCAATTAAATTTGCAACAAAAAAACTATTGGAGCTGGACCCAAGTCCAACATCGAAACAGATTGTCCCAAGTCCAGCCCACAGTCCAAGGATCAAGGACAAACCACCAAGATCCAAGGACAAGGCTAATGCCCGTACCCAAACCCGAGTTGAGCCGAGCTGAGCCGACCCGACCCGACCTGCATGTGGGCGCGCGAGAGTGTGATTGCAACTAACATCAACACTCAGTGCATAACTTTGCTGTTGTTGTTGCTAGATCTTCAACTCTCTTTGTAAAGAAGGTTGTCCTAATTTGAGATTCCAACATGTGGTATAAGACTCTTAACCATTCGAGTCCCACAACTAATGTGTTATGTGCCCATTAAGAGTTTCATAATTTATTGCTCACTCAGCAAAAATCAATTTTGAGAAAATAAATATACTACAAGTATCTACTCGAAGCATATAATTTTTCTATATAAGAGTGATAGACTTCGCTCGGTCTTGATTCAAGCTAGCACGACGGGATTTGCCTTCTTCTACCTTGCACGGCCTCCAACCTACAAGAACCCTACACCAGAAGGGGGGTTTTCTGGCGAAGAGTCTCCGATATCTAAGTCAGTCTCGGGATGAAAAAGATGAACAATTATAAAGTATATAAGAATTTGTGTAGAGAATGTAAAACTGAAACTTTCCCACCACACTGCTTTATATAGGGTTGTGGTGTCTTATTCCCCAAGTCTGCCCGTAGAGTTGACCCTGCTGCCTAATATACCCGTCTGTACGGTTTTGCAGTGTCTCAGACTATCGGGTGTCAGGTGTGCGGACGACCCAACCCTACCGCGACACATAGCCCAATCCTCCTATGGCGCGCTTTCCTAGTTACATGCCCTTTTGTCTTGTCTTGAGGCCAAGTCCACGTCTCTAGGTAGAACATGAGCCTCCTCAACTTCTCTATCGCTCAAGAGGTCGACTCGGCCTCTTAATCCCTAAGGTCGAAACCGGTGTGAACTTGTCTTCTGGCTACGTTCTCCTCTCAGGAGGCCACCGTCAGTTCGACTATTGTTTTTAGCTCAACTCATGTTGAGCTACCTTGTTAACTCGGACTAGTTGCTTGGTTTCACCAGGAGAGTTGACTCGGTATAATATCCCATATCACTATATAATTTAGTTACGCCTGAATCAAATATTTTAACCATAAAAAAATAGTTAAAACCGGTTCAAACCAATTTTCTCTAACAATTATTTAATTATATTGATAATATTGAGGAAGCTTAAGTGGAATTAGATATATTGAATTAAGTTAAAAGTTTAAAGAGTTACATACGTCCATGATACATCTAAAGAGTTAAATAATAAATATTAAGTCCAAATAATTTTTATATTTTGGAATCAGTCAATTGTATGTTAAAATGAGACGCGATCGAATATAGATAAAACAAAATTTGAGTGAATTTTATTAACTAAAATAAATTAATTTGAATAAAGTTGATTGAATGGAAGATTGAATGATATTTTAAATTTATATTTAATAATATATAAATTATAATAATTAAAATTCATTAATATTATTGAATTATAATACTAATATTGAGAAGAATTAAGTTAGATTAAATATGAGTTAGAATTTTTTGAGTTAAATTTTGAAAGATTATCCTATTAGTCAAAATGGATTTTAATGTGTACACAATTGTGCCCTAGGCAACTTTAAATCCTTCTTATGCGCTTCT